CCCTAGAGATTACATTTTAACCACTGCAATCTGTGTGCAATTAAATAATTTGGTAAACTCTTAAACAAAGGGCATGAGAGTCTGCTCGGTGGCTCAGTCATGTCCAACTCTTTGTGACTCCACAGACCATAGCCCGCCAGGCTCCTCTGACCATGGGATTCTCCAGGCCAGAATACTGGAGTGGGTTGCCATGCCCTCCTCCAGGGGATCTTCTCCAGGGATCAAACTGGTGTCTACTGTGTCTCCAGTACTGGCCGGTGGATTCTTCACCACGTTAAATGAAGGGCACTTAACTCTAATTCATTTTTAAAATGAGTGGCTTGGAGACAAAAAAAGGGGGGCCCATCTTGCCTTTTAGTAGGAATAAGTGAAAGTCGTGTCTGACTCTTTGCAACCCCATGGACTGACCATACAGTCCATGGAATTCTCCAAGCCAGAATACTGGAATGGGTAGCCGTTCCCCTCTCCAGGGGATCTTCCCAACCCAGGGATTAAACCCAGGTCTCCCACATTACAGGTAGATTCTTTACCAGCTGAGCCACAAGGGAAGCCCAAGAATACTGCAATGGGTGGCCCATTCCTTCTCCAGTGGATCTTCCCAACCCAGGAATCGAACTGGGGTCTCCTGAATTGCAGGCGGATTCTTTGCCAACTGTGCTATCAGGGAAGCACTTATTAGCAATATGTCCTTCAAACAAGCTAAGACTGAACACATTTAGGGTTAAAAAAATTTAAATGTATTTTGCTTTGCTTTTATCACTTTGAAATTCCTTACTTGTCTGAACAATAGAAACTGTGGTAACAGCATGCAACTTGAACAACAAACTAGTAAAACTTAAAACACACTGTCCATGTTTATCACTAAGTAAAGAAACTTGGGTTAAATAACTGCAAAGGTTCCAATACCCTTGAAAAGTTTCAGGACAGCAGCAAGAAATAGTGGGAACAAGATATTCTTTTATGATAAAGAAAAACTCTGTCTTTTCCACAACATTGTAACATCTGCTCCAAGGACAAACATTAATTAATCCTGGATAGACTGAACTTCAATTGTATTTCAAAACATGTGTCTAAATTCAGAAATTCTTCACTGACCATCTAAAAAGACTATCAGTTTATCTCCAAAAAGAGCCACCTGATTCCCCTAACATGTAATTTTGGATAGCTAAACATCTGCTCCCTACCATCCCACCGAGTAACAAAAAGCATACAACCCCAAACAACTTCTGGAGCACAAGCTGGTTTTCTCAGTCATCTACTTGAGCCTCGAACCTGCCTTCCCAGAAAACAAAGATCCAATGTGCCTAGCTTTCAAGACAGTCCACTAAAGCTTAAACAACCATAAGGATACAGAAATATAATAAAATACTGAACCTTCATGAGCAATGTTTCTATCAGAAAACTCATTTAGCAGTCAAGAATAAAAGAATATCCCTGCCCCACTAAACCTTGGAGGTAAAAAAGAATTCTTCCCTCATCTTAACTGAGTCAGCTTCCCTAGAACCACAGGCCTAGGCTTCCATGATCAAGGCCAAGGAGGAGGAAAGGTATGAAAGAGGGCAGTGGACAGTGTACTAGGCTTCAGAGTTAGAAGGACAAAAAGGCAGCGTTGTGGTGGAAGGAGATCCTGGGACGAGAAGGCAACACCTACTTGGGAGTAAAGGAAGAAAGGGGGGGGATGGCAGCTAAAAGGAGCAAGGCAAAAGCATGTCAGGGTTGGGTTGGGCTGGACCGCAAAAGACAATGAGTGAACAGTGGCTACTCCCACAGCAGATGGGCTGTTACAAGCTTTCCCCCTTAATGCTTAGGAGAGACAAGGAAAAGAAAGAAACCACAGGAAGAGTCTTGACAAAGCCTCCCTGTTTCTGGCTACTCTTGTTCTCCTGTGCAATAAAGAATGCAGTGAGTTAAGGGGTCTTATCCGGGTCCCTCTTGACCTCAGAGAGCATGTGGATCTGGAGAAGGGGAGCGGACCTAGAAGAGTTTTGTTGCCCTCTTTGTCATCATCCATTCTGCCAAGGACCTCAGTGTCAACTGAGAACTAAGGGAAAGCTCCAGGTACCAACAAAAACAGGGTCAGAAAGAGAGGAAGAAAAGTTAGGACAGAAATTTGAAGCAGGGGGGAAGTAAGATATTGGAGGGTCAGACAAATAAATTAACAGAATTGCCAATGAATCAAAGTATATGTTCTTAAATATTTAGAATTCATTTTGGCACTTTCAAATATGTCATCAGGACCATTTCACTCTCTGACGTGAGTATGTGGTCATGGTAATAAACTGAGGCTTATTATGAGGAAGGTATGAAGCTGAACTTCTAAATACACATGAGACAATTTCCTGGTATCTTTTTTTTAATACAGTGGCAATATAAATCATTTCAGAAAAGCTTTTTTATTTACTTGGTGAGCACTCACTTAACATTATCATTTATTGACTTTTCTGGCCTAATAACCCAAATATCATGAGTAATTAACCTTCTCAAATAAGGAATTTATTTAACCCGTTCTTGGGAGTGTACCTATTAAGAAAAACTTGCTCAATCATTACCAAATATGACCCATGAAGACTTCAAGATATTATATTACAAGCAAAGCTCCAAACTCCATAAAACATGAACAGATGCGTCCTGAGGAGTGCAGGACTTCTTTTTCCTCCACCCTCTTATGCCCATGTTCCCAGAACTTCCAGCCTGGGTTAATTAATTTGACAGGTAAACTTAACCAAATGACCTGCTAGAAGATGAGTGCCAGCACTTAGCATTTGTTTTCTTTTTCTTTTTTTTTAATTTCAGTTTTCAGCAGCTACTCTTCCAGTTGAACTCTCTCTTGAGCAGAGATAACGGTCAGGTAGGCAAGTTCAGCATCATGACAAACATGCAAGAGACCAGTGGGGGATGAAAGTGAACAAAGGGCCACATGCTGGGAAGATGTTTCTACTGTTTCACCAACATCTCAGATGGTCTTTCACTCCCTAGCCCCGTAAAAGATTATGCTGGATCCCAGAACAGCTGCTGTATTTTTCTGCAAAATACAAACTTGGTCCAAAACCTCTGTACTAAACTAAAGAGAAAAAAAACAGCATCTGCTATCAAGTACCTCACTTGCTGGAGAAGGTAGGTGGGTGGGTGAGCAGGTGGGTGGATATGTGTGCATAAACCTCCAAGTTATGATAAAGCAAATTCAAATCCTTATAAACTGTTTATATTTTATTTTAATCATATAATTTCAAAAACTACTCAGGACCAGAATAAACAAGATATTTGATCTCTGAAGTATCTTTGGCATGCTGAAACTGAAGGCAAAGTTACTGAAAACATCTGAATTTCAGATAGGTCACTACCAGTTACTAGGAGCTCTCACTAATCAGCAGGCTTGTGCTAAAATGTTACCCTGGCTAGAAAACTGACACATATGAAAAGGAGAAAAAATAGATAATTTTCAACCAAGGACACCAACTGCTTTCAAGATTACCAACAGAACTGAAAGATTTCTTTGTAATAAAAATTTCCATTTTCCCAAAATGTGTATTAGTCAGCACATATACTTATGCAGAGTTCAGTAGAAAAAGCACATATTCTAGAATCAGACACACATCAGTTTGTGTTCTAGCTCCACAATTTACCAGCTATACGACCTACTCAGGAAAGTTACTGAAGAATACTGGAGGTTAGTGTCCTTATCTGTAAAACAAAGATAATATTATTACCTTTAGCACACGGTAACTATGAGGATTAAATGCAAACATACATAACCCACCAAGCCCAGTGTCTGAATACTCAATGTTTGCTCCCTTTGCTCCAATACAAACTGTACAGAGTGTGCTGACAGTGTCAAAGAAACAGGTGGAAGAAAATTCAGAGTGACAGAACACAGATTATTTGTCAACACAGATACTGTCAAATGTAAAAACAAAAATCACATATGTAATATTTACCTTCACTAAAGCCCATTGATTAAGAAGGCTGTAAGGGGGAAGGGGCTAAAATGGAAAGATTCCTATCATACCGGCATTTAAAATTATGCATGTATATATGTTTGCATTCTTCAGGTATTCATAAAAGATACCATCACAAAACTTACCACTGTAAAACATCTATACCCCAATAAAAAAATTTTAGGTACATTAAAAAAAAAAAACCTTACCAGAGGTGATGCCTATGGTACTGCTTTTAAAAGCTAGGATGATGCCTTTAAAAGCAAATACTGTGAAACATTAAACTCTCCTCTCAAAAGCCCTTTCTTAATAGAAACGTTTCTTCCTTCTTACAAATGTTCTGGTATATTATTGCAAAATATCTACAAAGCAAAGACATAAACTAAATCCCCTTATCGTTCCAAAAGGAAAAAGTGTGTAAAAGAAACTAAGTTTGTCAAGTTGTTCTTCTTGCCCATTCATTCTTGTTCTTTTACAAACCGAAATACATGACAAGCCAAAATTACTGTCTGATTGACAAATGTCACTGAGGAACTCGTGGAATTGACAAGCCATGTCTGGACCAAAGGTGACAAGTTTTCTTAAGCAATTTAAAATAAATTACGTTTCAGTAAGGACAAAAATGCCTTGCATCAACGGTATGAACTTTTGACTTTACATGCAGCTTACTTTTTAACCCATCTTGTCCCCCATTCCCCCAACCCCGCCCAAGTCCTGCGTTTATTTAGGCACTTTAATGTGCTGGCACACAGCACTAAACTATAGAACTCCAACTGGGAATAACTCTGTTTTGGACCTCTGAGGAGTGCTTGTGTGATCTTCTTTAAAAGAACGTCGACAGTATGTTAGCCTTACTCCACACCTGCCAACAATCATTGGCAAACGTCTTTTCGAACAATTAACTCCTATCGCTACTAGTCTTCCCCAGGTTCTCTCAACACCCTCAACCACCCCAACCTTGCTAGTCTTCATTCCCAAACGCTTTTGGGGCGGGGGGGGGGGGCTTGAAGCCAGTACACAGAGGTTCACTATCTGCAATGCCCAGGGTCCGGCGAGGAAAGACCATCATCCCCTCTGCTGGGGGGCGAAGGCCAACCCAGGCCCCCGGCCACTCCCTCTCTTCTCGGCCTCCCGGGGCGTCCCGGGCGGGCGCGCCAGGCCCTGCGCAGACCTCCGGCAGCCCTGCAGTGCTCCGAGTCCGCCGCAGCCCCAAGCCGAGACGAGTCCCCGGGACACCCGCAGACCAGCACACGCCCACTGCCCGGGAGCGGGGTCACCGAGACGACCCCGGGGCCACTCCCGACGCCCCGGCTCGGGCAGGTGCCGGGCCTCCTCGCGGACACTCACCCGCAGCCGCTGCTCCCAGTTGGCCGCTGCCGCCGCCTCGCCTTCACACCAACCGCCAGCTCCCGCGGGGGGTCCGGGCCCGGCGCCGCTTCCCCGCCCGACCCCCCTTGGGTGCGCGCCGAGCGGGGCCCGAGTCCGGTGAGAGCCGCCGCCGCCCCCTTTCCTCCCTCCTCCTTCAGTGCGTCCCTCCCACCGAGGCCCGCCTCGTATTTCCTGGATCCGGTCTCGGCGAGAGCTTGGCAAGCCAACCTCCAGCTTCAGAGCTCGCGTTGAGCGCCGTCGCTCGCCAGGCACAAAGATGGCGCCGCCAGGGACGGCCTGTGGCGATCTCGCGAGGCTTCCCCCACAAACACGGGAGGGCGGGGACCCATGGGAAAGGCGGTCAATGAGGGTAGCCTGAACTGACTTCAAACGCTACCCCAAATCGGAAACGGGCAGCACCAGAAGAAAGTTACCGCGCCTGCGCGCAGAACGACGAGGACGCATGCCCAAAACAACTCCTGAACTAGTACCCAGTTCTCCGTGTTTTACCTGTTTCCTCGGAGGAGCGGGGCAGAGACGGAGGGGGCGGAGTAACCTGAACTGAAACCCGGGCAAAAACTGGGCGGGACCCGGAGGCGAAGTGAGCGACGTCACTTAAGGCTTGGTCATCCCTCGAGAGCTCAAACAACCTGCACACTTTGGAGGCTCTGGGGATCGTCCAACCCTTTCCTCTCCCTACTCTCCCTGTCACCGAGTGTTCTTTGCAAAAAGCCTCAGCTGCCCCTTCGTCCTGTTCTCGGTTCGCTTGCTGTGTGCAACCACAGTCCTCCTGTTTCCCACGGCACCATCTAACTTTCTCTTTCATTTTGGCGCTACAGAAGCCTTCCAAATCTCATACTAAAACAGCTGCTTTTGTTCCTGTTTTATTTTTCCTCGCTCTTTCATTTATTCATCCATTCAAACTCAGTGTTTTTCAAAGTTTTTCGTATGTGCCAATCACTGAGGAAACATGTGCTCTGACCTCAGGGATTTGTTGGCCTAGGATGGAGATGGGCAAGACAAAAACTATGATAGTTCAGCACAGTGAATTCTATGATAGATATGAGGAGAAACTGACACTGGGGGTGAGAAAATTCTTGAGGGGTGTCTCACAGTCATGGAATTTTAGTCCAGTGAATTAGACGGGGAGATGTCAGGAAACAAACCATCCTGATTATTTTCACGGAGAGAATTTAAGAATTGATCATTAGATGACTGAAAAGGCAAGTTCAGTTCAGTTCAGTTCAGTTGCTCAGTCGTGTCCGACTCTGTGACCCCATGAACCGCAGCATGCCAGGCCTCCCTGTCCATCACAAACTCCCGGAGGTTACTCAAACTCATGTCCATCGAGTCAGTGATGCCATCCAATCATCTCATCCTCTGTCATCCCCTTCTCCTCCTACCTTCAATCTTTCCCAGCATCAGGGTCTTTTCCAATGAGTCAGTTCTTTGCATCAGGTGGCCAAAGTATTGGAGTTTCAGCTTCAGCATCCAAAGAATATTCAGGATTAATTTCCTTTAGGATGGACTGATTGGATCTCCTTGCAGTCCAAGGGACTCTCAAGAGTCTTCTCCAACACCACAGTTCAAAAGGCAAGAGAACTCTTTTTAATATATTGTTGACGTAGCAACTGTGTGAAGCAGCTCCTATGCCTAGAGCTGGTGGAACCAAGGAAAGCAGTTAGGATTATTCCAGTCATTATAATTTGGATATTTAGACCAGGGGCATTGTGGAGCTGAAACCTCTGAGCTGGAAGCAGCATCTCCTGATGCTGGAATCTCTGAGGGAGGCTTGAGATGCTGTGTCTGCAACTGGGAAAACGGCAAACTGCTTCTAACTGCTGCTATGGGAAGGAGCCACTGTCCTGAGCGCTTCCAGTCTCCTTGCAGCCTGGGAATGAGAATGATACACAGTGCAAAGCTGAACCTGATCCATGGCCTGAAGCAGAGCAGCTGCAGTGTTGAGAACCACTTATTTTGGAAGCTGGGTGTGGTCAGAAAGGGGGCCATTCAGTCAGGTCACACACCCACACATAGTGGGAACCAGTGTGTTAAAACATTTGTAGCAAACGTGCTTCAAGTTCAAGGATTCAAACCAAACAGAACTGCCCCAGCCAACTCAAAAAACCATGAGTGAGCAATAAACCTGTATTGTAGTACAGCACTGAGGCTTTTGCTTATTACATGTCATATGTGGACTAATACCGCAGCTCTGTCCCACAAAGTGAGCAAGAGTTGCATGCTAAGTCACTTCAGTCATGTCCAACTCTGTGCGACCCTATGGACTGGGGCCCACCAGGCTCCTCTGTCCATGGAATTTTCCAGGCAAGAATACTGGAGTGGGTTGCCATGCCCTCTTCCAGGGGATCTTCTCGACCCAAGGATCAAACCCAGGGATCTCTTACGTCTCCTGCATTGGCAGGTGGGTTCTTTAGCACTAGCACCATCTGGGAAGCCCTGAGCAAGAGTTAGTTTCCTTCTATCCTGTTCCTTCACCACCCTAGACTGCCATCCTGGTATATTTGGTCCAGTAGGGCTAAGCATCACATGACATTCTAGTCATTAGGAAAAGGAAGGCCTCCCCATTTCCTTTAAGACGACTACCATCACTTAACCATGTTATTGTATCTTCATGCAGGGTAGACTGGAAAATAGGGTCTTATTCTAAGCAGTCATGACTTTAGAAAAAAGGCTGGGAACACAACCAGCAGCTCCACAAAATGATCAAAACTCAGACCTTGATTTAAAATTGCTTATTCTCTCTCCAGTTCGGTCCTGCCCTCAGTGAGGAGCTTAAAGCCAAAGAAGCAGGTATAACCCTTATCTTTCTGTTCCTTAGGCTTCTATTTCTCCCCTTGTTTTGCTAACCACAGTCTTTTCTACGGAAGAGGGTGGCAATGAAGATGGTAAATTATCACTTTACAGGTACAATCATAGGATAGCTTTGTCTCTCTGGACATGACAGATGTCTAAAATTAGCTCTTTCGCTGTTTCATTTGGGGGTTCTTCTTAGGCTCCCACTGAGAAGATGTGATAGCACATCCTAGGACATAAATATGCTCTTTCTTCTATTTGGCCTCTCTCTCCTCAGCCCCTTGTCTCTTTTACTTTTTGATGCTATTTTAAGTCCTCTCTAGGCTGTCAATTTCTTCTATATGACAGGCATCCAAATGCTGGCTTTCTCATGGGGTGAGTATGATTCTTCAGCACCTTCCTTGTGGCTCAGTTCTTTGATATGAATCAAGCTTTTCTAATTTCTTACTTCCTGCCTCCTGTAGAATACCCACAACTTCTTACTTCCAGTATCCCCTCATCCACTGGCAGGGCACAAGCAAGAGGCTCAACCTTTTTTGCTTTCTGTGAAAGTCACTAGATCTGTGAGAAGCTCACATATCCTGGCCATGCTGAACAATAAACGTGGCACCCTGTCACTGCTGCTCAGCAAGCTTCCAGCCTTCAGAATTCTTCTGGTAAGAAGCAGGCAGTATTGTCTATGTTGCCACAGGTTTCCAAACCCCAAAGATACATAGTTGACTCTCCCTAAAATTCTCTCTGGATTGGACCTATAGGTATTAACAGCTGCAGTTCAATAACCAAGCAGCTGGACAATGACATCTTGAAGACACTCCTTGCTTAGCTCTCAGAAGTCCCCTCACTTAGCTTTGCCTTCCCCAATGGAAGAGAAAATCTACAACACTCTCAAAGGTGATAACTAATAAAAATTTCCCTTCTAGTCTTCTCTCATTTAAGCTACAGGAAGTGTTTAAGTTATACATAGTCACAGAACCAGTTTTGCCACCTCTTGATGAGCCTTTAGGGAAGGGCCTAGAAGCTCTCTCCCCAGTGTTCATTGTAGCACTATTTACAATAGCCAGGACATGGAAGCAACCTAATCTAGAGGAGGGCATGGCAACCCACTCCAGTATTCTTGCCTGGAGAATCCATGGACAGAGGAGCCTGGCTGGCTACAGTCCACAGGGTTGCAGAGAGTCAGACATCACTGAAGCAACTTAGCAGCAGCAGCAGGAAGCAACCTAAATGTCCATCGACAGAGGAATGGATAAAAATGTGGTACATATATGGAGTATTACTCAGCCATAAAAATGAAAGAAATAGTGCCATTTGCAGAAACGTGGTATACCTAGAGATTGTCATACAGAGTGAAGTAAGTCACAGGAAGAAAAACAAATATAATATAGCTCGTATGTGGAGCTAGAAAAATGGTACAAGTGAACTTATTTGCAGGGCAGGAATAGTCACAAATATAGAAAACAAATGTATGGTTACCAAGAGGGGAAGCAGAATGAATTGGGAGACTGAGATGGACATATATGCGCTACTCTGTATAAAATTGGTAACTATTCCCTGGTAGTTCAGAAGATAAAGAATCCGCCTGGAATAGAGAAGACCCAGGTTCAATCTCTGAGTCAGGCAGATCCCCCGGAGAAGGAAATGGCAATCCACTACAGCATTCTTGCCTGGAGAATCCCATGGGCAGAGGAGCCTGGCAGGCTACAGTCCATGGGGTCACAAAGGGCTGGACACAACTGAGTGATTAAGCAGAGAATGAGAGCCTACTGTATAGCACAGGGAACTCTACTCAGTGCTCTGGACCTAAATGGGAATGGAATCCAAAAATGAGTGGTTAGGCATTTCTCTGGTGGTCCATGGTTAAAAATCTGCTTGTCAATGCAGGGGACACAGGTTTGATCCCTGGTCTGGGAAGATCCCACACTTTACTAGAAGCAACAGTTAGAACTGGACATGGAACAACAGACTGGTTCCAAATCGGGAAAGGAGTGCGTCAAGGCTGTGTATTGTCACCCTGCTTATTTAACTTATATGTAAAGTACATCATGAGAAATGCCAGGCTGGCATCAAGATTGCCAGGAGAAGTATCAATAACCTCAGATATGCAGATGATACCACCCTTATGGCAGAAAGCAAAGAAGAACTAAAGAGCTTCTTGATGAAAGTGAAAGAGAAGAGTGAAAAAGTTGGCTCAAAGCACAACACTCAGAAAACTAAGATCATGGCATCTGGTCCTATCACTTCATGGCAAATAGGTGGGGAAACAATGGAAACAGTGACAGACTTTACTTTCTTGGGATCCAAAATCACTGCAGATGGTGAATGCAACCTTGAAATTAAAAGACGCTTGCACCTTGGAAGAAAAGTTATGACCAACCTAGATAGCATATTAAAAGCAGAGACACTACTTTGCTGAGAAAGGTCCATCTAGTCAAAGCTATGGTTTTTCCAATAGTCATGTACGGATGTGAGAGTTGGACTATAAAGAAAGCTGAGCACTAAAGAATTGATGCTTTTGAACTGTGGTGTTGGAGAAGACTCTTGAGAGTCCCTTGGATTGCAAGCAGATCCAACCAGTCCATCCTAAAGGAAATCAGTCCTGAATATTCATTGGAAGGACTGACATTGAAGCTGAAACTGCAATACTTTGGCCACCTGATGTGAATAATTGACTCATTTGAAAAGACCCTGATGCTGGGAAAGATTGAAGGTGAGAGGAGAAGGGGACGACAGAGGATAAGATGGTTGGATGGCATCACTGACTCAATGGACATGAGTTAGAGTAAACTCCAGGAGTTGATGATGGACAGGGAGGCCTGGTGTACTGCAGTCCATGGGGTTGCAAAGAGTTGGATACGACTGAGTGACTGAACTGAACTGGGAAGATCTCACATGCTGCAGAGCAACTAAGCCTGTGTGCCGCAATTACTGAGCCCGCCCTCCATAGCCCATGCTTTATAATGAGAAAGCCACTGCAATGAGAAGTCCACACACCACAACTAGAGAGTAGCCCCT